TGTGGTTGAAGGCAGGGGATGCACAGACCCCAGTGTCAGAAGTTCAAAAGTCTGAAATCAGAGCTCCTGATCCTGCACGATTGACTGTGTACACACTGTGACAAGGAACAGGCCTGGTCCAGGCCAGAGTCCTGTTCTCTGCATTTGTTTGGCCTGACCTTTTTGGAGCTCCAGGGAATCAGAAGAATGGGCTCCCTTGGTTATGTAGGAATGATGCAGAAATACAGGGGTAAAAATGGTATCTCATTTACTATACTAGCATATCAAGAGTAAAGTGTTGGATTTATACAGGACTTTCACCCTTGTTACACAGAACAAGGAAAGCCATGTTCTTCCATTGGTAGATAATAGTGTCACTCTGACACAACCTTGGAAAACCTAAAAAGACAAAGGATGGTCTTACCTGTCCAGTAAAAAGACTTCAGATTAACTACCCTAAAACTAAAAATGCATAGTTTTGAGCTTTTTCAAAGTCTTAGAGAACTAAAGGAAGGCATTATATATCAGTTCAGTACCTGTTTGTTTCCTTTAGAAGGAAGGCAGGAAGTGATACTCAGAACATATTGTAAACTCAAGCCTTTCACACAGTGTGAATTGTCATAAGATTTGTAACTTTTATTTACAAATTACAGTTCTCTGACCACCACCTGTCACTTTCTAGGATGCCAGGAGCTGGAAACAATTCTGCTTTGGAAAAACACAGCGGAAAAAGAAGTAAGAACAAATAGGAATTTGTTGATTTTTGTGTGACAGATGAACTATCTTTTAATGTTAAGGTTTATTATCATTATTTTCTATACTTTCATGAGATAAAAAATCAATGCCCTTAAACTAACAATTTATCTTTTTCAAAATTCTCATATCTTTATGTTGCTTTTTGTTCTGATTTCAACATATGTTTCTTGTAAATATTGGTGTATATTTTTCCATAATTTTTCTATACATGTATTAACACATTTTGGAATATAAGTTCATTTATTTAAATGAAATAATTTTATACATATTTTTATTTTCTTGCTTTTTAAACTAATATATTTAGACAATAAAAGACTTAACATTTTTAATTGAAATATAAAAAGACTTATTTCAGTATAGCTTTAACTGGCAGTGTTTTCATTTTAAGTGTGGTGAAGAATTTTTGTTTGTTTGGTGTTTTTGCTATGGTCATTTGTTTTTCTTCTTTGTGGAACTCTTTGTTGTAGAATGCAGTCAGTGTTTTCTGTTTTAGTGTTTATCTTTTCTTTACTATGCTGAATGACTATCGAAATTCTTATATTGGCCAGGCACCAGTGGGCCCACGCCTGGGAATCCAGAACTTTGTGGAGGCAAATGGGAGGATTGCTTGAGGCGGGGTTCAAGACCAGCCGAGCCGAAAATAAGAAAACCTTTTATCTTACAGAAAAGAAATGTGTTAAGTTACTTGAGGCATGGTGGTTAACCCCTGTGTTCCGTATGCTACTTGGGAGCCTGAAGAGAGAAGGACTTACTAAACCTAGGAAGTTCGAAGTTTCAGTGACTCATGATTAGGACCACGCACTCCAGCCCGGGCAACAGAGCAAGATACCAGTCTCTAAAAAATAAAAAAAAGAAGAAGAAAAGACATAGAAAAGAATTACTTGGTATGTTATCTATGTATTACATTTGGTCTATATTTTGTCCCATTTGCTGTTTTACTTTCAGGTTTGTTAGGGGAGATCTGTTGCCCTGAGAAGTGTACAGAAATTACGCAGTAAACTTGTCCAGCTTCTTTCTCACTGGTGCCTGGATTTCATATCATATTTACCCACAGCCATTTCTTCCCAAAGATTTTTAAACAATTATTGTTCTATATTTGATGTCTAGAATGTTTGATCACCTGATTTAGCTTTTAATGGTCACATGTATAGATCACACGTGTGATTTGCTTCGGTGCTTTTGAGGGGGGGAATTTAAAAAAATATTCTCTATGTGTAGTGGGGAGCCTCACATCATGATTTAATCCCGGTTTGATTGACACAGTATCTTCACCTGGTGTCTGGATTCTGGTTTTTCTTTTTATAAGTTTCAGAGGGGGCTACAAGAAGATAGAAGGAGAACTCAGAGTTCTCCTGCATTCTCCTTGTTTTCCTGGTATTGTGCTGTTATATTTTCCATATCAATTTAGAATCAGATTTGCCAATAAAAGTACCACTATTCTATTGGTACTTGTGGTGGAATCCACCTTCAAATTTACAAGTGTAATGAAGGACAATTGGTCCATCGTATGGTGAGACTGCCTGCCACAAGAGTCACCAGGGTTTGGTACATTCATTCAGATGGTCCTTTGCACCATTCAGTAGGGCTGTTAATATATCCTGACACAGGGTTGATGCAGACTTTCTGTAAGTTACTCTGGATTTGTTTGTGTGTTGTACTTATTAGTGCTCTTATTAGTAGTGGTATTTAGCGCCGTTATTCGTAGTGATTAAGACTAGTAGACCCAAGAATGGTTAAAGTCTATTTTTGTTCAGGCGTTTTTACTTCCTGGAGGGACAATCAGCAACAGAGGTGCTTAGAGCAAGCTGGGCTGACAAAGAACCATGTGTAAAGCAAAGGTGTCAGCAGCGCGTTATACGTATGATCTGGTCTTCAGCCAAACTTCTCCATGTCCAAGAGAAGAACTGGGACGGGAGTAAAATGAGCTGCTCTTTCGTTGCCTAAAGTTGTTTGCACCTCCATAGTTTTGAACTTAAAGGAGCAGTCTAGCTATACCCTCTATCCTGGAAGGGAGACTAAGCAGAGAGAGTCTGAGAGCAAGAGGGAATGGTGCTGGCCAATAATAGGCATCACTGAACAGACCGCGGAGAGGTTACGGACCAAGGCCAGGGCTGCCAGTTTGACACCTTATGGGGAAGGAGAAAGCAGGTGGAGCACGTTGTTCCCCTGGGACAGGTGGGGAGGAGGAGGGAGGGCAGAGAGAGTTAGGACTGGCCAGTTCTCCTGTGTGCCAGCGGGCTACCCCTCAGCACCGTGAGTGGCAGGAGGGGAGGGTCCCACACAGCCACACCTGGTGTGGATGACCTTGTAGCCCGGCAGCCACAGTCAGACTACCCACTTGGCCCAATCACATTCTCTGAAGCAGGGTAGACTTGTTAGGAGGAGGCAAAGATTTCTGTAGATAGTACACTACAGTCATAAACTATAAGAAGAAAAATGAGGCCGAGGCGCGGGTTGGCTCACGCCTGTAATCCTAGCAACTCTGGGAGGGCCGAGGCGGGCGGATTGCTCAAGGTCAGGAGTTCAAAAACCAACTTGGAGCGAGACCCCGTTCTCTAGCCATAAAAAATTAGAAAGAAATTAATTGGCCAACGTATATAGTATATATATATATAAAAATCAGCCGGGCATGGTGGCTTGTGCCTGTAGTCCCAGCTACATCGCGGATGGCTGACGCAGGAGGATCACTTGAGCCCAGATGTTTGAGGTTGCTGTGAGCTTAGGGTGACGCCACGGCACTCACTCTAGCCTAGGCAAAGAAAGCGAGACTCTGTCTCAAAAAAAAAAAAAAAAAAAAAAAAAAAAATGAGAGATTGGGCTTCCTCAAACTTAAAAATATCTCCCCATGAAAAAACATGCTTCAGAAAAGGAGAGAAAAGCCACAGACTATGAGAACATATTTATAATACATAAATCACAGAAAACATTCCTATCCATATTATATCAAAAATCCTTCTACCCATCAATAAGTAAAAGAAAACTTAATACTATAAATGGGCCAAAGACTAAAACAGATATGCACACACATATACATACACATACTTATAAACATATCCAATAAGCACATGAAAATATGCTTGATTTCATGAGTCATTAAAGAAATACAAATTAAAACTAAAATAAGGTATCATATCATACACACTAGAATAGCTGAAATTAGAAAGATCATCTATAATGGTCTTTGAAAAACAGTTTGGTAGGTTCTAAAATGCTTACACATGCTCCTACACAATGAGCCAGCAATTCTACTCCTAGGAATTCATCCAAGAAAAATGAAAACATATTACCACAAAAAGATACTTCTACAGTTTTATTCATACTAGTCTCAAACTGGACTAAACCCAAATGTCCTTCAATAAGAAAATGAATAAACAAGATTGTGGTAGATTCACAACATGGAATGCCACTCAACAATAACAAAAAGGAACAAACTGCCCTTTAATGCAACAGCATGGGTGCTGAACAAAACATGGCAGACACAAAAGCATATATTATGTATTATTCCATTCATGTGAAATCCAATAACAGTATTAACACGGTGAAATAGATGACAGCAATATTTGCCCCTGAGAGGCTGTCTGGCAGCATGTAGTCAGAATGTGGGTTGACAGGCAGGGGATGCACAGACCCCATGTGTCAGAAGTTCAAAAGTCTGAAATCAGAGCTCCTGATTCCTGCACGATTGACTGTGTACACACTGTGACAAGGAACAGGCCTGGTCCAGGCCAGAGTCCTGTCCTCTGCATTTGTTTGGCCTGACCCTTTTGGGAGCTCCAGGGAATCAGAAGAATGGGCTCCCTTGGTTATGTAGGAATGATGCAGAAATACAGGGGTAAAAATGGTATCTCATTTACTATACTAGCATATCAAGAGTAAAGTGTTGGATTTATACAGTGACTTTCACCCTTGTTCACAGAACAAGGAAAGCCATGTTCTTCCATTGGTAGATAAGAGTGTCACTCTGACACAACCTTGGAAAGGCCTAAAAAGACAAAGGATTCTGTCACCTGTCAGTAAAAAGACTTCAGATAACTACTCCTAAACTAAAAATGCATAGTTTTGAGCTTTTTCAAAGTCCTAGAGAACTAAAGGAAGGCATTATATATCAGTTCAGTACCTGTTTGTTTCCTTTAGAAGGAAGGCAGGAAGTGATACTCAGAACATATTGTAAACTCAAGCCTTTCACCACAAGTGTGGAAGTTTATAAGAGTTGTAACTTTTATTTACAAATTACAGTTCTCTGACCACCACCTGTCACTTTCTAGATGCCATGGATGCTGGAAACAATTCTGCTTTGGAAAAACACAGCGGAAAAAGAAGTAAGAACAAATAGGAATTTGTTGATTTTTGTGTGACAGATGAACTATCTTTTAATGTTAAGGTTTATTATCATTATATTCTATAGCTTCATGAGATAAAAAATCAATGCCCTAAACTAAACAATTTATCTTTTCAAAATTCTCATATCTTTATGTTTCTTTTTGTTCTGATTTCAACATATGTTTCTTGTAAATATTGTGGTGTATATTTTTCCATAATTTTTCTATAACATGTATTAACACATTTTGGATATAAGTTCATTATTTAAATGGAAATAATTTTATACATATTTTTATTTTCTTGCTTTTTAAACTAATATATTTAGACAATAAAAGACTTAACATTTTTAATTGAAATATAAAAAGACTTATTTCAGTATAGCTTTAACTGGCAGTGTTTTCATTTTTAGTGTGGTGAAGAATTTTTGTTTGTTTGTTTGTGTTTTTGCTATGGTCATTTGTTTTTCTTCTTTGTGGAACTCTTTGTTGTAGAATGCAGTCAGTGTTTTCTGTTTTAGGTTTATCTTTTCTTCTAGCTGATATGACTATCGGAAATTGTATATCTGCCAGGCACAGTGGCTCACGCCTGGAATCCCAGAACTTTGGGAGGCTAAGATGGGAGGATTGCTTGAGGCCAGGTGTTCAAGACCAGCCGAGCCAAAATAAGAAAACCTTTTATCTACAAAAAAAAATGTTTTAAGTTACTTGAGCATGGTGGTACACCCCTGTGTTCCTAGCTACTTGGGAGCCTGAAGGAGAAGTATTATTTAAACCTAGAAGTTCGAAGTTGCAGTGAGCTATGATTAGACCACTGCACTCCAGCCCGGGCAACAGAGCAAGATACCGTCTCTAAAAAATAAAAAAAGAAGAAGAAAGACAATAAAAAGTAATACTTTTATGTTATATGTATTACATTTTGGTCTTATATTTTGTCCCATTTGCTGTTTTACTTTCAGGTTTGTTAGGGGAATCTTTTGCCCTGGAGAAGTTACAAATATTTACGCAGTTAAACTTGTCAGCCTTTTTCTCACTGGTGCCTGGATTTCATATCATATTTACCACAGCCATTTCTTCCCCAAGATTTAAACAATTATTGTTCTATATTTGATTCTAGAATGTTTGGAGTACCTGATTACTTTTAATGTTCACATGTATAATCCACGTGGGATTTGCTTCTTGGTGCATTTGAGGTGGGAATTTAAAAAAATATTCTCTATGTTATCACATCATGATTTGAATCGCCGGTTTGATTACACAGTACCTTCACCTGTCTGTATTCTGGTTTTCTTTTATAATCAAAGGGGCTACAAAAGATAAAGGAGAACTCAGAGTTCCGCCTGGTAGTCTTCCTTGTTTTTCCTGGTATTGTGCTTTATATTTCCATATCAATTTTAGAATCAGATTTGCTCAATTTAAAGACACTATCTATTGGTACTTGTGGTGGAATCGCCTTAAATTTACAATGTAGTGTAAGGAAAGTTTCCATCGTCATGGTGAGACTGCCTGCCCAAGAGCACCATGTTGGTACATTCATTCAGATGGTCCTTTGCACCATCCGTAGGGCTTTAATATTTCCTGACACAGGTGATGCAGACTTTCTGGTAAGTTTACTCTGAGATTTGTTGTTGTGGTTGTCGCTTATTAGTGCTTATTAGGTAGTTATTTAGCGCTTATTCGGTAGTTATTAAGACTAGTAGACCCAAGAATAGTTAAAGTCTATTTTGTTCAGGCGTTTTACTTCCTGGAGGTGAAATAGCAACAAGGTGCTAGAGCAAGCTGGCTAGCAAAGAACCATTATAAAGCAAAGTTCAGCAGCACTTAATTACGTATGATCTGGTCTTCAGCCCAAACTTCTCCATGTCAAGAACTGGGAGGGAGTAAAATGAGCTGCTCTTTCTTTGCTCTAAAGTTGTTTGCCCTCAGTAGGTTTTGACTGAAAGGAGCGTCTAGCTATCTAACCCTCTAGTCCTGGAAGGGAGATTTAAGCAGAGAGAGTCTGAGAGCAAGAGAATGTGTGCTGGCCAATAATGGCCATCACTGAACAGACCCAGGTTACGACCAGGGCCAGGGCTCCAGTTTGACCACCTTATGGGGAAGGAGAAAGCAGGCGGAGCACAGTTGTTCCCTCCTGGGACAGTGGGGAGGAGGAGGGAGGGCAGGAGAGAGTTAGAGCTGGCCAGTTCTCCTGTGTGCACCTACCCCTTCAGCACCGTGAGTGGCAGGAGGGAGGGTCCCACACAGAGCCACACCTGTGTGGATGACCTTGTAGCCCTGGCAGCCACATCAGCTACTGCACTTGGCCCAATCACATTCTCTGAAGCAGATCAACATAGAGCAATTTTTAATGAGAGACAGGCAAGGAGTGCTAAAAAAAGGCTTCATTTACCTCCTTGAGGACTCCATTTCTCCCACTTGTTTCTTTTAAATCTTTACTTCAATAACCAAGATTATACTACTTTTATGCAACTTTAGTAATCTCTTATCTCTGTATGTTTCCATAATGTCTTAATAAAATTCCTGAGGGAAATACTTTGTGAGATAGAATATGCTTCATCTTAGGATGTGATTCCTCCTGCGATGTAAATTATCAGTGAATGTCTTACAGTACCATTTTTATCTTAATGAGGTAAAAAAAAACAAAAAAAAACTCTGAGTAATTGGTATGGCAAAGGCCCAGAAACGAAAATAACATCATCAACCCCAAGGCTTCCTTGTGCTTGATTAAAGGACAGATTCCTTTCCAGTTTACTGTGGTCACAATCTGTTAGAAGGAAAGAGCATTCATTTGGGGTATCGGGAAGAGGTTTTCTCCTGGGTCCTGCACTAGGCAGGATAGAAGCCAGAGGCACACTGCGATGGGCACAGGCCTTCAGGAAGAAAGAGCATTCACGTGGTGTCCCTGACATCAACATTCAAACACATTTGAAGGACGCAGATGTAGACATGCATCTGGAATGACTCACTCTTTTTTGGACACACCCAATCAACATATATTGATATATCGCATACTACATTCTTCTGAGAGATTTTTAACCACTTCGGTACGGTGCTCACCGGCCGCAAAACCTTGCCCGCAGCTGGCACTAATGTCCGCACGACTATGCTGTGCATTGACGAGGAATCCGTTTTGCTCTTGTGTGATGAGGAAAGCTTTAAAGCACTGAAAGCTGTTTTACTTTACAGGCATCTTTACGTGTAATGTAAATCAGAATAGGTAACATAGACATATATGGTTTCATTATGTTATTTTTTAAATGTTTACAATTTTATTTTGATAAATGAAAAATCAGAAAAGTCGTATCACGGCTATCAGCTAAAGTCGACACTCTACCGAAGTGGTTAAAGTCAATCCTTTGTGCCACCTTTAACTCTACATCTCTTAGACCTGGGGCCTTAATTTCTACAAATTCCCTGAAAAGTTGCAATTGAATGGTGTTTTTGTAAAACACTATTATTTGTGATGCAATGTCATAAACAAGAGATGGTGTTATTTGTCTACTTTCTCAGAGAGAAAAACTGCCATCCCCGGACCTTTCAAAAGAAGAAGCAGCAGAACAGGCAAAAGAAGAGGTAAAAAGAAGCGATTGAAACACTTTTAATAATTAACCATCTAGATTTTTATTTTATACTCTGTGCTCTGAGTGAAAAATCAGTTTTCTTAACTGGCTTAGGGGAAGTTAGTACGGGAGCTACAAACTTGGCCACAAGTTCTTTTTAAGATTACGAATACCTGCTGCAGCTGAATCCAATCCCTAGTGTCCCACTCACGTGGTGTGTGTGGCTCCCTGAGCAACGTGAAGTATCATTTTTATTGACTCATTGAGTGATACATAATAGATGTACATGTTTTGGGGGGTGTGTGTGATAATCTGATACTTTCATATAATTGAATCAGGGTAATTGGGATAGCCATCACTTAAAACACTGATCTTTACACTAGGAACATTTCAATTATTCTCTTCGAGCTATTTTGGAATACAAAATTAATATTAACTGTACACTCCCGACTGATCTATCAAATACCAGTTCTTATTTCTTCTGTTTAACTGTAGATTTGTCCCCATTAATCAACCTCCTGCCAGTGAGCAGTTTTTTCTAGAACTCCCGCACTGAGCTTCCCTTTCAGCCACAGGGAAAGCTCAGGGGAGGGACAGTGAAGCAAAGCAGACGGCCAAGGGGGAGACAGACGCCAGCCTCCCTGTTGCCCATGTGCTGTCCTGCTGCCATCCTGCTTTCTGTTCCCCCAGGCAATGCCTCAAATAGGGAGACAAGACTAAAATTTGACAGGCTTTACTCCATCTCCATAACTTCAAAGCAATAATAGGGCTGGAAATCTCCCTTCAGATCACCAGGGGGAAAGTCACTGTGGGAGCAGTGGATGTGGCCACCAAGCTTGAGAGCTCACATCCTGCCTCCCCAGGCTGTTGGGTGGGATTTTGGGGGGTGGAGCAGAGGATGACATTACCTACCGGTATCTAATCTGCCATGAAAGAAAGATCTTGAAGTGTAACTAATTCCTGGGAAAAATCCCTGCAATTATTTAAAATTATAAAAGAAATATCTGAAGAGGGTGGGAGAGACACTGCCCAGTTGTAGAGGAAGATAGAATGAAAAAATTGCTTCCTTGCAGATCAAAGAATTCCCAAAGATGAAAGTATGAATTTTCAATGTCCTGAACTTCCTGTGACCTGTGGTAAGGCAAAGGGGACTCTATATAAGGAGAAATTGAAAAAAGGTGAGTTTCCTGGTCTTCTAGGATTTTCAACCAAAAAATACCCACACAAATAGCACACTGTTGGGGAGTAGATATCTGTTTTGGGGGACCCCAAGACCAGTCCCAGGTCTGATTGGCTAGGAGCTCTCCTAGGACTTGGTACAAAGTCACACTCACAGGTCGGGTCTGTAAGACTGAAAGGATGCAAAGCAAAGTCAGCAAAGGGAAAAGGCACCTGGGGCAAGGTCCAGAGGAAACCAAGCACCAGCTTCCCAGAATCCTCTCTGGGCGGAGTCACACAGGGCTCACTACGCAAATGGCAGAGAACTATACACACATGGCAGGGAGTTCCCACCTTCCCTAGCCTTTCAGCTTCAATGTGGGGCCCCTGAAGACTGAGGGGACAATTCAGACTCTGCTGCTACTCATCCTGAACCCAAAGTGGTGGTTCGAGATCCAGTGTGGGCGGAGGCCAAGTGTAGGTGTTTTCACTGTCAGGAGCTCAGCTTGTCTTGGTCTTACAGGAACCTCAGAGAGGTGTATAAAGAGTGAGACAAGAAGATGGTTCACTCCCAGGGAATTTGAAGTTACAGGAGGCTACAAGACATCCAGCAACTGGAAGCTAAGCATACGCTGCGGTGGATTTACCTTGAAAGAGCTGATAGAGGTATTCTAGTGACAATTTAAATCGAGAATTTGGCTGTCACACCAGGCTTTAGCAGAATTTCTCAGTGTCCAGAAAACCATCATGACTCCCCTTACCCAGGGTTCAATGCATATGATGTTACTATTAATAATGTTCCCCCAGGTGTGACCGTGGCTGGCTTATACTACAGCTTACTCCTCTAAGCACAGTAACTCTTCTCCTTCTGAATGTAAGACAGTAAATTGTGGCCTTGACTCTGCCATAAATAAAAGGTGCAGTTTGGTCACATAAAAGTAACTTAAATTGGAGAGAAAGGGGTCCTAAACTTTAGGGATCAATTTTAAAAGCAAAATACTACAATTATATATCTGAACTAGTACATCAGGATAGATAGTTCCTACATTACACAATATTTTGACAATATTCTCTTTCATAAGCCACCTCACATTTGTTCTCGAAAAAGAATACAGATAAATTGCATTTGAAACTAACTGCTTTGCTCCTCATATGAATCCCCTGATGTGGACAAAGCAGGGACAGGGTTTTTGCTGCAGAGGAACCTGTGTCTTTTGACTCCAGCTACCGTGATTTCTCAGTTGCATACCTCAGACAGCCCTTCCCTGGGCCACTCTAACCACAAAGAAAAGGTCTGTGTTAAGCAAATGTTTGCTGAGGCGCATCTAGAGCCACGAGGGAGCACAGGTGCGAGCCTCTACCTGGGCAAGGGCTGTGCTTTAGGAGCCACAGGCCTGCACAGTGCGAGTGCTCTGAAGAGAGACACCTGCAGGGAGGGATGCAGCAGGAAGGAAGGTCATTTCTGGCTTTGAGGTTGATGACAGTTTCCTGGAACACTTTGCAATGAGCTGGGTATAAAAAGCAGAACAGTTCTGATAAGCAAAAATGTAGAACAGGGCATTCTACATTCATAAGAAAGGATGGCATGAAAATCTGCTCCACAAAATGTTAATAAGTTGTGGATAATGAGGCGTAATTCATTATCTGGACCTATTGTGGACATCATCAGGCCAGAGGAAGTAGTCTAAATACTTCCTTTATCCTTTAATCCCTGAGGAATCATGGAAGGTACTTTGAATTTGAGTTGAAAGTGGGATATGCAAGTAGAAATATCTGGAAGACATTCAGAAATATTGAGCCCATAAAATAAAACAAGGACCCATCATATCATTAATCTCTTTTCTTTTAGAAAGGATATCTGCAAAAACCACCAACAAGCATGAAAAAGTGGTTATCAAATGACTTTCTTCTGATGCCTCATCAGTCATATTGTTGGCTTTCCATCGCTGTAGCCTTGCTGTCTTTAAATTGACCAATCATGATAAAATTTAATTGTATAATATGGTGCTTTTGCAGTTGCTGCTTTCAAACATTATATAATGTATAAGTTATTATATAATGTATAACTTTGACCAAGAAAATATTTGAGATAAGGTGGGAACAATCCTTAAAAATAAAGAAGACTAGGTCAAATGGTAGTTCTATTGTAGCTCTTTGAGGTGTCTCTGTATTACTTTCCACAGAGGTTGTCCTAGTTTGCAGTCACACCAGCAGTATGAGTGTTCCTATCTCTCTACATCCACGCCAACATTTATTGTTTTGGGATTTTTTGATAAAGACCATTGTCACTGGAGATAAGATGCTTGAAGCTCTTACATGTAACCTAAACATTTGTACACCCATAATATGATGAAATAAAAAAATTAAAAAGAAAACAGAACAAAAATAAATAGATAACACAAAATTGACCTGTTGAGTGTGATTTAATAACAGATCTGAATGAAACACTTTCTCAAAATTAAATATAATAGATGGGGTTGGAGTTGGAAAAGCCAGCATGATTTTGAAATACAGAAAACAAGACGTTGAACTATTGTCTTTACAACCTCAAATTAAACACTGATTGTTTTTCATTGGTTTTTATAGTTTCTGTCTTTAATGAAATAAGAATGAAGCAAAAGTTTCCATAAAAACATCAGACGCTCCCTACAGATGATCTAATGTAGATTTCCCTTGGAACATATATGTAGCCATATTCACCCGGAGAAGCAAACAACAAAAAACACCTTCTCTTTCTTCCTTTCATCTTTTTCCTCCACTACATATATACACACACACACAGACACAGACACACACACACACACACACACGCACGCACACGCACACAGGTTTTCCTTCGGGCACCCTTGAGAGGCAGAGTGACTGGGAGGCAGAAGTGTCCTGCAAAGCTGCTGACCAGGAGAATGGTTTCCTGTGTGCGGAGGCTCTCTGGCCCACCAGAGATGCTGTGCAGACCTCACTGCCATCCAGGGAGGGAGGCCTCCATGGAAGTGGCATGTGGAGTTCATGGACCACAGTTCTCCAGCTGGTGGATTCCAGGGCAGGTGGTGAGAGCCTGTGTGCCTCCACGGCCTCTCCAAGGCTGAGCGTAGGGAACCTGGGGAAGGAAGGAGGTGGACGAACTTCCACTTTCCTAACCTCTGACACCAGTGACCTTGCATAACTCTGCCACACCAGGACATCGTGGTTTTCACAGAGCTGGCTTCTGGGGCTATTGGCTACCCTGGCTTGATGACTAGAGACTCAGTGACTAGGCTCTGCAGCCACTGGGATTTCTGGAGAAGGACACATTATTTGATCTATTTCTTAAGGCCAAATATGTCTGTCCAGAGAGACAAGGGAGACTCAGTCTGGGCCAATTAATTCAGTTGGCCTCCCACATCCCTACATTGCAGGCTCCCTGTCTCTATTCCCTGTGGCTCCAGGGCCCTACAGGGACAACTGCCTCAGTTCTCAGAGGGTCTCTCCAAAGGGTCTCCTTCCCCAAATCCTTGGCCTCTAATACTTCTGTCACTCACAGCACCACATGGCAGGTGCTGCTGTTGGCAGCTTCCCTGCCCCTAAGTTTCTTGTTAAACCTGCTGCTGGCAGCTGACAGGCTCTGGGATAGTAAGATATAAAAGTCCAAGCTGAGTATTTACTGGCTGCTAAGAAATCTCTTCTCTTGAGTGACAACTGTGCTCATTTGTTCACACACTTATGTGTCCATTCAACAAACAAATGTGGAGCTACTACACAGGCCCACGTGATGGGGCCAGTCATGGCAATGCAAAGGAGGACAAAAGGCAGCCTTAGGGGCTGTGTCAGCCACATTGTTTTAACTGCAGGATAGCTAGTGATGTGAGGTGAGGGATTCTAGGCCACTCAGATACTACACCAGCTCTTAGCCTAAAGGCCAAACAGAGACAGTGACAAGTCCTCTTCTCCCATCATTGCGCCTTGGCTCACATTGGGTGCTTTGTCTGTGGCCTCTGCTCTGGCTGGAGGTAAACGCTGAAGCAGTCACTGTTCCAGAGCAGAAAGAGGCCGAGTCACTCCACAGATATCCAAGGTCAATGCAGTATTCCCATGAGTTGTCCTTCTGAACACTCTATACATTTTGGGCATTAAAACTTGCATTCCTTCCCCAGCCCATTGATCAATGGGGCAGAAAAATGTTCTTTGCTGCTTGTTCTTTACTATCTTTAAACAAGATTGTCCATACAAGGACAAGGACCACAAGATCCTAGTCATGGGAGGTAGGTCACTATCGCTCAAGAACCAAGACCCAAGACCAAAAACATCAATTATAGTTAAGCAACAACAGCCCGCAGTGACATTGGTCAAGCTGGCCCAAGTTCCACGGCTGAAAACCACCATTTAATAGGAATAACATTTATTGGGTGTCGGGCAGGTGGGGGGGAGGGGATGGGTATATACATACACAATGAGTGTGATGCGCACCAACTGGGGGATGGACACGCTTGAAGCTCTGACTCTAAGGGGGGAGGGGGGCAAGGACAATATACGTAACCTTAACATTTGTGCCCCCATAATATACTGAAATAAAAAAAGAAGAAAAAGAAATATAGATAAAATATGAAATATCCATACAATGGAATATTATTAAGCCATAAATAAGAATAAAGTACTAATACATGGTTCAATATGGATGAACCTTGAAAACATGTAAGTGAAATAATCTAGTCACAAAGGTCATATTTTGTATTTCCTTACGTGAAATGTCCAGAAGAGGCAAACTCAGACACAGAAGGTAGATGAGTGGTTGCCAGGGATGAGAGTCAGGGGAATTTGAAACGCTAATAAGCAACTGGGTTTCTTTCTGCAATAATGAAAATGTTTTCAAAATTAGTGGTGATGGTTGTGTAACACTGAATGTACTAAGAACAACTGAATTGTACACAAAATGCTGAATTGTATCTTATGTGAATTATGTCTGAAAGAAACACATATTTAAAAAATCTAAGAAGAAGAAAAGAAAACCCGTGTTTCTGCTAAAAGAGAGGATGGTAGTCTTTGAGACACTAGTACACTATCCTCATTTGCCACCAAAGTAATAAACTTCTCTTTCCTTTGTCCTCAAACCACTTCCTTCTCATTGATTCCATCTCAGGAACAAAAACAGAACTTTGGGTTGTGTTTTGACACCTATGGTCTTGAGAAAAGAAACATTTACAGTTTCTGTTTCCCCAAACAGAGCTCAGCTCTAAGGAAACTGTAATGCCGATCACGGCCACTAGAGAGGAGTGTGGGTGTGGCCAGAGCCAAGTCGGGGAGGAAAGTGGGTACTGGGTGGAGGTGACAGGGACACTGGGCTGCTAAAATGAGAGACGGAATCACAGGCCCTTCCTTGCCTTGTGTGCACACAGAGTGTCTGTGGCCGGCCTCGCTGGCTGGGCTGCTCATGGAAAAGATACGTGAGCTGGCATCAGTGGGCCGTGGGAGTCTATGCAGGGGATAGGTGTCCTTCAACTGTTGTGCATACAACAGGGGCTTAAACTGAAGGACTATGGATGATGATGCAGCCTGTAGGTGGGAACTGGGATGTGGCCCTGGCCAGCCTCCATCCTCCACCTGCTGCACAAGGACTGTGGCTTCCTCGGGGTGTTTCCCATGGATGCTCCCTGGACCCTCAGCAGGTGCCCAGAGGGACTTCCTGTGCTCCCCTTCCCTTCCCTTCCCCGATCCCCACAAGCCCTCACCCTTCAGCCTCTTCCTCCTCTGCCATGACAGCTCTTCCCACTCATCCCCTTTTCTAAGGATTCACTCCCTTCCAACTGAAACAATCACATTTGCACCCCCAACAATGCCTCTGGCATCCTCCAAACCTGCAGCCTCAGGGGTCCAAAGCCTCCACCACTTTAGCCTGATAAGCAGAGGACCAGGAGAGGGAGAGCAGGCTTGGGCTCAGTCTCACCCCAGGCCCTAAAATCTGAAATATGGCCACCAATGCCTGCTGAGCCCAGAGGATAATTGCATCACGATTACGCAATGGCAGGGGGCTATGTCCCCTGGCCTCTGCCCATCTGGGTACACGTAGGACAGAACCTGAAGAGAGAGACATATACCCATACACTTGAATGGTTTATGGTGTGAGAGGACCCCAAATTGCAGACCATTTTTCTAACTGAGTTCAAGCTGACAAAGAGGTAGGCAAAAAGGAGAGACAGATGGTAGTAAAAGTATAAGTTTTGTTCTCATAAAAGCTGCAGTGGGGATGTGGCTCAGGGTGGCAATGAAGGCATCTCTAAAACTGAAACCTAGAATTGGGCTAATCCACATGGCCTCAGGCTGCTTCAACCACCCGCTCATCACCCCACCCCCTTGCAGGTCCCTGTCCTTGTGCTCCTGAGCTGGGAGGAGCCAGCAGAGCCCTGGTCCCTGCAGACAGGATGACTCCAGGGAGACTCAACATGGGGCAGACGGTCCCATTCCCCAAGGCCCCCAGTCAGACAAGTCTCCCCCATGAGACAGACAGCAGGGGTGGCAGCAACGGAGAGAAACGGAGAGACCTGGCGTGTGGCCCTGAGTGGTGTGCGGCTCCTAGAAGGAGACGCTGCAGCAGGACTGAGTGCTCCCCTGAAGGTCCCAGGCTCCTGCTCTTCACTCCCCATTTCCACTCCCTGGAGGGTAGCCAGGTTCTCCATCCTCACATCCCAGTGGGTGCTGTCACTGCACCTGCAGCTGCCTCCTGCCCTTGAACTCTCCTATCCAGGATGCCAACAACCTTAGTCATCTTGAGTATGCAGCTCTGGTCCCCACAGGGTCCCTCCCAGCTTGGAGAATCACCCCACTTCTGAAGTCTGAACCAAAGCTGCTCTTGGTGAAGTTTATGAAGTGCACCACCTTGCTGGGTCCCCTGCCCAGGTCCTTCCTCAATGACTCCTCTCCTGCTGCCAAGTCTTCCAGGCTCCAGGTAACATGAGCTACCTCTGTGACAGCAGAAACGTTCCCTGATCCCACTGCTCCTTACAGCCACGGAAAATGCCCCAGGAGTTCCATTATTTCTTTCCAATCAGTCCAAGAATATTTTAGAAGTTCACCCTGCTTCTTAATTTGATCCTGTCCCTTTCCCAATCTCAGTGGGTCTGACATTGTTGTCTGGATCAAAGAAACGTTGCTTTCTCCTCAAAGACCTACAGGTTCTTCATAAACTGTCATTGCTTTTGCAGAGTGTGGTGCGTGCTCAGCTTTCTCTACCCCCACCTGCATGAATGTCCCCTTCCCCACTGCCAGGGACAGCACCCGCATGGGAGTGTCCACCTGAGACGGTCACCCTGTGTATTGCCCCACCTAGCCCGCTGCCCATTGTCCTGGAATTGCAGGTGCTGACCTTAGCAGACCCTGAGCAGACCTGGGGAAAAGCTGGCACATTTCTGTCAGTGCTGTCTCAGCTGTGGCCAGGGCCTGCCTGCTGCCTAGGGACAAGAGCAGAGAGAGATGGGACGCCACAGCAGGCTGGTCTGGTCTGTGCCTGGCCTAGTTGGGGCCACGGTGCCATGGGGAGGCTGGGAGCAGACGGCAGCTGTGCCCAACAGAGGCTCAGCTCACCAGCTCCTCTGCCCACAGTCGGGGGTTTGGGGACGGAGACAGAGAGAGAGAGACCTGAGGGTGTGCAGCACCTGGTAGGCACAGGGACCCTGCACTCTGGAGAAGATGTCCTCATCAGTGTCCGGGAGTCTGTCCCAAGCAGACTGGGCTCACGTGCTCCTTTGGGACAGAGAGAGCAGACGTGGACGAGGGTGGAACCCCCTCTCCCACATTGTCACGTGTGACGACAGTCACCTGTCCACAGCTAGACGGGGCGGATTCAGTGGGAGCCGATGTGGAAAACATCCCTGGAGCCCTGTCCGCCGGCCCCGAATCCGCCCGCCCCTGCTCCCGGCCTGGATCCCAAGGCCGGGCCCGCGGCTCCCGTTCCGCCTTGGCTGCTGGGCGGACGCGGGCGTCGTCCAGGTCGTGCGCCACCCTGTGCGGACCGAGGCTCAGAACCTGAACGAACCGTCTGGCAGTGACGCAGCTCCGAGGCTAAGCCCCGGCCGTCACCTGCCCGTTCCTTCTGGATCACCTGGCTCCCACCTCCAGCTCCCCAACGAGGCGTTCGCCTCTCAGGGTCCGCGGTGACTTCCTCGAAGCTCAGCGTCTCTCCTTCACCCCGGAGTTGTAGCAGCCCCGCAGTCAACGCGCCTTCAACCCTCGCGCCTACGACGTCAGCCGCTGTCAGCACTTGGCTCCAGCCTCCCGCCCCAGCGCGCCTCCGCGTCCGATGCGCGTCTCGGCTCTCGCCAGCCCGTGTGCGCATGCGAGCATGACTCGTCGTCCGGCTCTGCCACGGGCTGGGAGAGTTATCAAGTTCTGGCTTTCCCTCCAGCCTGCCCCCACCACCCCAGCCTTCTCAGCAAGGGGAAGAGGAAACATGGAGTTACCCTGCCGCGCCCACCCACCCGCCGCGTGCACTGTGCTGCCCTCTGGAGGGCGGAAGCAGCTGAGGGCAATTAGGTTCCAGTGGATGTTTTTTTCTGTCCTTTGCACAAAAACGAGGGTTCCTCAGAGCTGGCCCTGCTTGTCCTGGGGTCCTCCTTCCTGGTCCTCCAGGTCTTGCCCAGGGCCTTTCCCCATCCCTCTGCCGCACTTCAGTAAGCTGAGAATGGCTTGGAGCGAAGGGGGAGACACAGTGTCCAAAACAGGTCCTAAGCTTGGAAAAATACTTTCACTTCTCTTTTCCCCTTTTGGGCGGAGCCGTCTCTGGGTAAGTCAGTCTGTGGGAAGAATTTCTGCCCAGAGTCCGGGCAGCCACAGTGGACACAGGCCAGGCAGACGGGAGGGACTGAAGGCCAGGCTCTGAGGATGGCAGATGGAGGCCACGACCTGACTGTCAGGTGAGTCCTTATCTCCCTCCTCATCTCTGGTAACATTGCTGCTTTTGTGCCTTTAGTGAAGTTCCTGTCTAAAGCTTTACTTGAGTTTAGTCCTGCTTTGCAAGGACACAGGTATCCAATATAATGAAGTCAAAGAGTATATAATGAGGAAATTAGGGTTTTAAACTGCAGCAGGACAGCTGTTGCTGTGAGTCCAGGTTGCCTGGACTCACACGTAGCTTCCTTGTTTGCAGCTGCTGCTCAGCTGGCCAGGACACTCTGAACACAGGAGTCCTTTGAGGCAGGGATGTGTTGATGGGATGTGTTATTTCCCCATGACCTCTGAACCCTCTCATGTCCCTCTGCCTTCTTCTATGTTCATATAGGTCATGTCAAAGAATGTTGTTTACAAAATAGACACTCAGAGGTAAACACCTGGCTTACTTTAAACATTGGATGCTGTCGTCTCACCTGTCCTGGCACAGGGCAGGGTGGCTCCTGGGACTCCCAGGATGTTGTCCTGACTGGCTTGGGGTCTGATTTCTTCCTCCGTTGACCTTGGTCAGAAGAAGGAAAAGGAAGAGAAAGGCCCAGGAAAGCAAAAGACTAGTGTAGGCTGAATATTTCTGTTTTTACTTGAATTTCCTGTTGCATCAAGGAGGATACCTCTGAAAGGAAAAAGGATAGAAATCCTGTCTTTTCTTTAGTAATGGGTTCAGAAATAACACTGTTTAATTTTTAATTTAAATTTTTTTTTATAAAAAGTAAATATATTATACATTCATGTTCATAAAGTTTCAAACAAATGTGAAAGTACATAGAGGATAAGATCTTCCCACTCACCCCCCATGGTAGCTTCCTCTCCTGGCCCTGTGGAGAGTCTTGAGTTTAGCTCTCCACATCTTTTCCTATGCACTTACCTCTATACAGTGTGTTTTTGTAAATACAAAATTTGTGTTCCCATCTTGTAATAAATGGGATTATGTTGCACATGCTGTTCTTTCTGCATTTTCACTTATCTTAATAGTGGAAATCTTGGACATCTTTTCACCTTAATACATACCTCATTCTTTTTGCCACTCTTTTAAAAAAATTTATTTATGTGTTTATTTATGAAACAGAGTATCTGTGGCCCTGGCTAGAATGCAGTGACATCATCAAAGCTCACTGCAACCTCAAACTCCTGGGCTCAAGTGATTCTCCTGCCTCAGTCTCCCAAGTAGCTGGGACTACCAGTGCATGCCACTGCACCCAGAACATTTTTCTATTTTAGTAGAAACAGGGTTTTTCTCTTGTTCAGGCTGGTCCTGAACTCCTAAGCTCAAACAATAGTCCCATCTTGGCCTCCCAGAGTGCTGGGATTACAGGTGCAGCCACTGCTGCTGGCATACCATAATTTTTTAATCCTTTCTCAGTTGAAGGACATACAGGTTGTTTTCAGTTCACTTTTACCAATAAGCTGTAATAACAATGATTACATATTTCTGTTTTTTGCATGTATACAAGTATTTTGACACAACTTGTGTCAAAACAAAAAAGGGGAATTATTGACACAGCAGATGTTAATATTTACTTGTTTATAGATCCTGCCAAATTGCCTAAGTGGCTGAATAAATCAATATATTTTTCTACCAATAGCAGATAAAATGAACAAGCCATCTCCCCACACCCAGCCAAACTTTGCAAAGCTGATGGGTAAAAAGTTGCATCTGTTTTAATTGGTATTTTCTTGATTACGTGGGAAATTGGACAGTTTTTCATTTTTATTGGCCATTTAAATTCCCTCTTCTATGAATTACTTATTTATTTTTTTGGCCAATGTTGTTGAATTGAGGTGTTTGTCCTTTCTTTCATGATATGAGAGAATTCATTAAATATTCCAGTAAAATATACTTTTCTTATAAATATACTTTTCTTGTCTTTTATTAAAGCTTAAAAGTTAACATATAGACCTATCATGATACTGATTTTATAAGATAGATGCACACTAATTGCTATAAATAAAGTGATGCAGAAAGTCACTGACATATTCTGTGAGCACTGCCAGGTATAAGGTAGTTCTTGTGATCTTCACTGTGTCAGATTTGCTTCTATCTTTTTTTCAGAAGTTTCTCCTGCTATATCGCTGAAAATTTTTTCTCTTTCAATTTTTAGGCCAAATTATTCTTACATTGGAGCAACTTTAGCCTTCACAGCTTTTTTTTTCTTTATATACATATATTTTTTTTCTTTCTTTCTTTTTTTTTTTTTTTGAAAGAGGGTCTTGCTCTGTTGCTCGGGCGTGGCGTCAGCAACCTCAAACTCCTGGGCTCAGGAGATCCTCCTGCCTCAGCCTCCTGAGTAGCTGGGAATACAGGCTTGCGCCACCATGCCCTCCTAATCTTTTTTTCTATATATATTTTTAGTTGTCCAGATAATTTTTTTCTATTTTTAGTAGAAACAGGGTTTTGCTCTTGCTCAAGCTGGTCTCAAACTCCTGACCTCAAGCAATCCTCCCATCTCAGCCTCCCAGACTGCTAGGATTACAGGCGTGAGCCACTGCACCCGGCCAGCTTCACAGCTTTTATCTGCTGCCTAGTTCTTCCATCTTTTCAGTTCTTTACTTTTTGTTAATAATGGTTGTCTCAAACTTTTCCTCCATGACAATTATTTAATTTTAATAGGTTTTTGTTTCTTGTAATTTCTAATTTTTAAAAAATTGATTCTTTCTTTTTGAGGGGGATCTTAATTTGTTTCGACAACTGCGCAATCTCCACTTTATCCCATTATTTTGTTAATTGATTGTCCCATTTTCATGTTCTTGCTTTATTTAGGTTTGGTGGCATTAAGCACTGTGGGGACATTCTGCTTATCTTCTTCCGATTGCAATTCTGTGTTCCTTTGTTCTCCCCTCTGCCTGCCAGGGCTGTTGTGCTTCACTCCAAACTTCCCACTTCCTCAGAGTAATCCGGGTGAAATGTTTTTGTTTTTGTTTTTTCACATTTCCAGCCTTGTCTGAGGCCAAATTATTTCCTACCTGACCTACAGTTTGAAGGCTCTATTTTCAATCTTAACAATTTTTCTGAGGATGCGATTAATTGATAAAACCATCCTTTTCCCCACTGATTTGCAGTGTTACCCTTTTCCTTAACCAAATTGCCATGTAGGCAGGTGCTTTTCTGTGTTCTCTCTTCTCTGCCATTGGTCCGTGGTTGCCTCTGCTTGTGCCAGAACTACACTGTCACAAAGGTGACAGTGTCCCAACAACTCCTGATACATGATAGGGTAAATCTTCTTCTCCTCTCCCTCCAAAGTATCTTGCACTTTTGTGTTTCCAAATCAGCTTCTCAAAATCTTATTGGGATTTTGTATGAGATTGTGTTGAGTCTATGGACCAATTTCAAGAGAATTGACATCTTTACAATATTATGTCTTCCATCTCATGTATATGGTATATGTATATTACTAATTTTGAAATATTTTCTAATAAATTTCTATTTTTCTATTTCAAGGCTTTGTACTTCTAGATTTCTTCATAGATATTTGATATCTTTATGCTATTATAAACTACATTAGTCCTTCCATATCCATAATTTTGTTTTCCATGGTTTCGATTAACCAGTGGGCAACCAAAGTCTGAAAATATTCAATGGAAAATTCCAGAAATAAACAATTTATAAGTTATAAACTGCATACGATTCTGAATAGTGTGATGAAATCTCACCCAGTCCCACTCAGTCCCACCTCAGTCCACACCCAAAGGGATGTGACCCATCCCTTTGTCCAGCAACTCTACGTTGTAGATGCCACCTACCTGCCCATTAGTCATTTAGAAGCTGTCTTGGTTATCAGATCAGCTATTGTGGTATCGCAGTGCTGTGTTCAAGAAACCCTTATTTTACTTAATAGTAGCCCCAATGTGGGACAGTGGTGATGCTGGTAACTCAGATATGCTATAGAGAAGCCATAAATTGCTTCCTTTAAGTGAAAAAATGAACATTCTAGAGGATAAGGAAAGAAAAAACAATTATTGCTGATGTTGCCTAAGATCTACAGTATACTGAGGTATTTTGAGAGAGAGACCACACTCACATAGTAGGGAGTACTGTACTCTCTTCTCTCTTCCGTATGAATCTGTATAGGCGACCTCTGTTCTGACCTATGGTTCTATTTTTCATGTTTCAATACTGAAATGTCCTACTCACTATGATTTTTTAGGTAATGTTCTATAACCTATCTAGCTAGGATTCAATTTAGAGACATTGAATGAAAAGTTAAATTTAGGAAGACTTTGCATCTTAACTCTGAATGATCCCAGCTATAAATATGTCTATCTCTTCATTTATTCAAGTGTTCTGAAATCTTTATGATTTGTTTCTTGGCCTTGATGTTCTAGATTTTCTTGATAATATATCTAGGTATGTGCTTTAAATATTCATTCTCTGATCCCATAAAAAAATGTATGTAAAACTGTTTACTTATTTATTTTGGGGAAGGTAAAATTTTCAGTTAAAATTATATCCAACGTTTAAGAACATTTGTCATTCTACAGAAAAGCATACTGTAATACAGGGGTTCTCAAACTTTTTAAACAGGGGGCCAGTTCACTGTCCCTCAGACGGTTGGAGGGCTGTTGGAGAGTGTGGCGCACATTCCTCACATGCGCACTGTGGGCCCCAGACGAGTCAGCTGCTAAGCAGGACAGGCAGCAGCAGCGAAAACACCCGGAGGGCGAGATAAATGTCCTTGGCGGGGCGGAATGTGGCCCACAGGCCGTAATTTGAGGAAGCCTGCTGTAATACTTTGGAAACACAGAACATGATATAAATTGCTTGAATTAAAAAGTGACCATGGCCAGGTGCAGTGGCTCATGCCTCTATTTTGAGCTCTCTGGGAGGCTCAGGTGGGCGGATCCTTTGAGCTCAGGAGTTCCATACCAGCCCGAGCAAGAGCGGAGACCCTGTCTCTACTAAAAAGTAGAAAAAATTAGCTGGGCATGGTTGTATATGTCTATAGTCCCAGCTACTTGGGATACTGAGGCA